CATTTTCCCTTACTGCAACATGCAATCAACCTAACTTGTCCAACTACAAGTATATTCCTATGGTCTTTGGCTGGAGAACAGTAACAACGCTCAGAAAAGACTACAGACCTCCAGACACTGCATTTCAAAAATTAGATACAAGATTGATCACTGGCTCCCATCTTCTGCCCAACCTCTATTCTCAAGAGGGAAGGGCTAAAGTTTTTATCTGCAGCACATGGAGTGAGCCATGGAGATGAAGGCAAGACCCTGGTAGAAAAAGGCAGGTAAACCCACCTACGGAAGAAGTAAAGAGAAGATGATTCCTGGTATCTCCATTATATCCCCACTCTTTTTGGCCAAAAGGAAGCCATGTAAATTAGGGGTCCTAAAATCTCCACTGTTGTGAAAGTTCTAGTGAACCCCAGAACTGTTCCCAAAAATGCTACAACCAGAATAAGGAAGAATTTAAATTGTGCAGCTAGATCCCAAAATTCCCGGCCAGCTAGCTTCATAGGTTCTCCCTGGTCCTTTCATTAGCCTTACAACAAGCATTTTATGTAACCAACCTAGCTGGATCCCACATAACCCTGTAACAGTGGAGGTTTAAATTTTATAGGACTATAAATATAGTACGGGCTGTGAAATCAGCCTGTCCGGACTCAAACTCTCGTTCCATCACATGCTAACTATGCCACCTTGGCTACATGCTGCAAAATACCTACTTCATGTGCTTGTTACCGGACTCAAATGAGATACCTGGTAAGCACTCAATAAACGTGATTTATTATTAATTTAGTGAAGGTATTACGAGGATTTTTCTGGGTACTGTTACGTATTGATCTGTGACCATTTTATAGTAATAGCTGTATCGGTGAAAGTGGCATCAACATTAAGAAAACCACTTGGGAGATACCATCTAAGTAAATGCACTCAAAGAATAGAGTACAGGGGTGCCTGGGTGGCTCAGTCAGTTAAGCAACCAGCTCTTGATCTCAACTCCGGCTTTGATCTCAGGGTTCTGAGCTCCAGCCTCCTGTTGGGCTCCATGCTAGGTGTGGAGCCTACTTTAAAAAAAAAAAAAAAAAAAAAAAAGAATAGATGGACCAAAAGACAAGTGGTCCTGTGCAGCTAAGGCAGGTATAAAGGACAAGAACATATAAATTACAGTCCACATTTCACTTCTCCTGCTGGGTATTTAATAAGCTCGAGTCAATGTTTTGGTATCCTGGGTAATAGCTGGTGGGGTACATACTATTTAAAAATAGGTTAATCAAAAGCAGGTCACACATGAAACAATGAAAAATTTGTGTATGAACCCAGGATTATAATTAATCCAATTCTGTGAATCTTAAATTCAAAAGAAAAAGGGAAAAAAGCCAGCAAAAGGAAAGTAAAAAGATTATCACCACCTGGTTAACAGATTTTAGCTACATAATCACTGAAATAATTGACAAGAGAATTCAGAAATATTCATAATACTTAAAACAAAACAATTATTACATGAGTATTTATAAGTTAAACACTACAGAATACACAAAAATTAACCCAAAATGGATCAAAGACCCCAAATGTAAGAGTTAAAACTCTAAGAAGAAAACATAGGAAGACATCTTCATGAAACTGAATTTGGTGATGATCTTTTTTTTTTTTAATTTATTTAACAGATGGAGAAGTACAAGTAGGCAGAGCAGCAGGCAGAGGGAGAAGGAGAAGCAGACTCCCCGTCAAGCAGGGAGCCTGATGTGGGGCTCGATCCCAGAACTCTGGGATCATGACCAGAGCCAAAGGCAGTCACTTAACTGACTGAGCCACCCAGGTGCCCCATGGTGATGATCTCTTGAATATAACACTAAAAGCACAGGCAAAAAAAGAAAAAAATGCATAAAACGAACTTCATTAAAATTAACAACTTTTGTACATCAAAGAACTTTATCAATAGAGTAAAAAGGCAACACACAGAATGGGAGAAAATATTTGCAAATCTGACATTTAATAAGGGATTAATATCCAGAATAGAAAGAGAACTCCTGAAAGTCAACAACAAAACCACCCAATTCAAAACAGGCAAAGGACCCAAACAGATATTTCTCCAAAGAAGATATACAAATTTAAATGGCCAGGAAGCACATACAATAGTGCTCAACATCACTAATCATCAGGGAAATGCAAATAAAAGCCACGATGACATCCACTGCACACCCATTCGAATAACTACTGTATTTTAAAACAATAGAAAACAACACGTGTTGGTGGAGAAGCTGGAATCCTGGAGCACTGCTGGTGGGACTGTGAAAAGCACAGCCACTACGGAAAACAGCATGGCAGTTCCCCAAAAAATTAAACATAGAATTTTTTTTATATGGTCCCACCAATTCCACCTCTGGGTGTGCATATACCTAAAAGAACTGAAAGCCAGGTCTTGAAGAGGTATTTGCACACCCATGTTCATAGCAGCACTATTTACAAAGGCCAGGAAACAACCCAAATGTCCAGTGATGAATGAGTGGATAAACAAAACGTCACATGTCAATACGAGTGAATGTCATCTAATGTTAAAAAGGAAAAAAATTCTGACGCGTGCTGCAAGGTGCGTGAAACTTGAAAGCCTTATGCTGAGTGCAATAAGCCCGACACGACAGGACGAATACTGTGGGATCCCACTTCTATGAGATACCTGCATTAGTCAGATGCAGAGAGACAAAGTGCAGCGGTGGTTACCAAGCGCTGGAAGGAGAAAGGAATGGTAAGTCAATGACTCATGGGGGCAGTTTCAGTTTGGAATGACAGCAAAGTTCCAGAGCTGGGCAGTGGGGGTGGCTGCACAAGATGTGAGTGCACTTAATGCCAATGACTTGTACACTTAAAAATGTCAATCACTTGCTATGTATATTGTATCAGAAAAAAAAGGTAAAACTTATAGCATTTCAGGGCAAAACCAAAAAATTGTTAAGTACAAGTATTGGCAACATGTCTTAGAGAAAACTCAAGTATTTATATTCCCTCTGAATAATCTGAGAAAAGAATGCGGAAGACTGGAAACCCCGTGGGCTTGCTCGCACCTGCACAGCTTCCGCAGAGGGTGCATCCACCACCCAGAGGTGCTGGTCGGAGAAGGATGGGGGACAAGCGGCAGAACTACGGCACTTTAAAAGGAGCACCCACACTAGGCCGTTTCCAGAGTAGCAACGGTAGTAAAGCTCGTGGCTGCTACAACGCAAGTCCCCTTCTCAATCCAAATGACAGACTATGTAATTAACTAAAAAGTAAGGCAAAAAAAAAGCAAACAGATCAATGGAACAGCGTGGATTACAAAATTAACCCCCACAGTTATAGTTACCTAAGTCATGACAAAGGTCATAAATGGTGCTAAAGGGACTGGACATCCAGGTGGGGGGAAAAAGAAAGATTCCTACGTCAAAACAACCACAAAAAACAAATTCCAGATGAACTGCGGGTCGAAATGGGAAGAATAGATCAGTAAAGCATTTAGAGAAAACCGAGAATGTCCTCCCAGTTTTGGAGCCGGCGGAGACTTCTTGAGCAGGACAGAGCCAGAACTGACCATAAAGCAATTTCTGTTAAAGTAACTCTGAAAATTAAGAATTTCTCATCAGAAGATACGTCGTTGAGTGTTAAAGCATCCAAAAAATGGGAAAAAAAAAAAAACCCAACGGCAATACGTATACCTGACCCAGTTACCATACTCGGAAAGCATAGAGAAAACCTGCAAATCCCTATTTAAGGGGTTACAGGACTAATCTGAAATGGGGAAAGACTTGAAGACGCTTCAGGAGCGCGTTCCAAATGACCATAAATATAGGAAAAGGTACCCAAATTCGCTCATCATCAGGGAAGCGCATATACAATGTGTTGTGCAGAACACAGTCCGAAAATAAGAGGACGAGGACGCGCTTCCTGCGGCGGCTGAATCAAGAGCACCGCACGCGCCGACCCGCGAAGGGGCGCACGAAGCCGCGGCAGCGCCCGGGGCAGAGCGCTCGGAACCTGTCACCGGCCCGCGAGAGGCGCAGCCCCAAGCCCGGGCCCCCGCGCCGCCGTCGCACGCCGTGGCTCGCGGAAGGCGCTCCGCTCCAAGCCAGGGCCCGGCAAGGCGGTTCAGTCCCCGAGACCGAGAGCCACACAGATTCCGCAGCAGAACTTCCCCGGCTCCCGGCGCTGCGGCCGAACGCGGGGCCGAACGCGGGGCCGAACGCGGAAGCCGTCGGTCCGAAGAAGCGACGAGCACACGCGCACACACGCGCACGCGCGCACGTAACACGGTCCCCGCGCGGCCACAGGGACACAGACACGCGCACAGCGCGCTGCGTTGCGGGACGGAAGGCGCACACACCCGTGCCCGAGGCCGAGCGCGGGTCGGAACAGGCAACCCCGGCGCCACAGCTCCCGGGAGCGGCCCCCGAGCACGGCGGGCGCGGCCCACAGCGCCCGGCGCCCCCCAACCCGCAGGGTCCTGAGCCAACGCCAGCGGGGCCGGAGCGCGGGCTGCGCACGCTCGGCTCCCGGGCCCGCCACTGGGCACCGCACGCTCGCGGGTCCGCCGGGCCGGCGTCGGTCCCCCGCGACGAGAAGAGCGCCCAGCGGCCCGCGCGGGTCCTGCGCCCACCAGAGCTTCCGCGAAAGGGCGGGGGAGGGGGAGCGGGGGCGAGGGGGGCGCGGGGCAGGGGATCAGGGTACACCGGGCACGGAAGGCGGGTATCGCGGGGCGGGGGGCGCGGGGCAGGGGGTCGGGGAGGCACCGGGCGCGGAGGGTGGGGGCCGCGGGGCGGGAGGTCGGGGGACACCGGGAACGGAAGGCTGGGGGCGCGGGGCGGAGGGGGGAGAGGGGCGGGGGGCGTGGCCGAGGGCGCGGCCGGCCCGGGGAAATGGGGGCGGCGGGGCCGGGGGGCGCAGGGCGCGAGGAGGGCGGAGGCGCCGGGCACGGGAGGCGGCTGGCAGCTCGGCCGCAGCGGACGCGGGGGCGCGGGGGGGCGCGGGGGGCGGGGCGCGGGCCGGCTCACCGTGGACTCCCGCACTTGGCTGTGGAAGTGCTGCTCCCGCGCCGACACCTCGTCCTGCCCTTCCATCCTCCCTCATGCCCGCCGCCGCGCCGCCCGCGTCCGCGCGCTCCGCCGCACCATCGCCCGCCGCTCCGGGACGGAAGCAGACAGCGGACCGCCGTCCACAGGGTCGGCGACCGCAGCCCCCGACACCGCCGCCGCCTCAGCCGCCTCAGCTGCCTCCCCAGCCGCCGCCTCAGGCAAAGCCGCTCCTGCTGCGGAGGGCGGGCGCGGGGCGGGGCCGGGGCGGGACCTGACGTCAGAGAAAGGCGCTTCGCGTCAGAGGAGCGCGCCGCGGCACCTTGCTAACGGGAGCCGGCGAGGGGCGTGGTCTACTGGAGAGGGGCGGTGGGGCCACGCCCCCAGGAAGTGGAGGCCGGAGTCGGGCTGCCAGGTCCAGTGTCCTGCCGCTTGGGAACGCGACCCTGGTGGGGCGGCAGGAGCGGGTTCTTCCTCTTTGAAGGATACGGGGCGGCCGGCCACAGTCTCGGTGCAGTTGCTCCCGGCAGGAGGGGATCTTCGTGGCCCGGCGCGGCCTGCAGGCCAGCAGGTCTCCCGCGGAACTGGCGCTCCGCCAAAGCAGGTCAAAGGCCCGGAAGGACCTGGCTCCCGTGGCTCCGATAACGGCGTCGCCCGCCTGGAAAGCGTGGACAGCCCCGAGTGCGAGGCCCTTGCCGAGCCGGTGGAGTCGCCCCCGGGAGGCCCCCGGCAGACGCTCATATTGGGGACCTCCTAGCAGACCAAACACGGTCATTCATCCCCACTGGACGCTCAGTGTCTTTTTTTCTATTTTCGCCGGAAACTGAGTCAGAAGGAATATTTATCATTTTACTTCGGGATCTATTTGACTATAGAGAGGTCGCTTAAATGCTGCTGGCTGTGCGATTTGGGGGGCATCTCTAATTGAGAACTCGAAGGAAGTAAGAAAATCTAGAAATTGCTTTCAAATTATTTTAATGATGTATCTGCATCTAGATTTTTCAGTATCTTTTGCAATTTTGAGTTAAAAGTTTCCTCATGACTAAAAAAAAAAAAAAAATGTTTCTAGGGTCTCCAAAAAGCATGGCAACCCCATACACCGTGCCTGTGATGCAGTAGGCTGTAAACTGTTGGTAGTGGGAGGACCAGAACAGGAGGTTTGCTCTGAGGGAGTGGCCCCTGCTGCCACAGGCTGAGAAGAAACCAGGAGTGCTTCCAACTGCTTAAATGCAATGTTCACTTTTATTTTTAAAATGTCTCAGAGACGGAAAGAACCACCGAAAGACAAAGTCTCTGAGTCTGTTTTTCTAGACACCCGGGTTCTGAGAGCTGGGTTAAACACTTGTCCGAAATGATCTGCATAATTTCTGGGTTAATTAGAGTAAGCAGATCAGATTTTAAGATTATGGTATTTAGATGTGTTCCGGGAAATAGATAAAAGCATTTCTGCTCTTTCTAGCCCAACCCCCAAGCATCTAGTGCTTTCTGTTTTCTTTAGCAAGGCTTCAAAAATAGCCAGAAGCTCACCCCTTCCTATACATTCTCCTGTCTGCCTTGTGGCATTGCCCCTCCTTCCATCAAGAAGTGTTTATTTTCCACCCCCTTGAATCTGGGCCGGAGCAGGTGACTTGCTTTGGCCAAAAGAAAGTAGAATATATGAAGCTACTTTGAAAAGTGCTTGTGCATCAGGGCTTGTCCCTTCTTACCAGCCCTGGGCATCCTCCAACTGCTACTGTGCAAAAAAGCCCCAACCAAGTAGAGAGAGGGATCCCAGTTCTCTCTGGCTCCCATCTGACAGTCTTTTCCGCATCTCTCTAAAACATAAATCTTCCCGTAACAGGTTTTCTCCCCTGTTCAGTGCACTGCAATGCAGTTGTTCTCACTAAGTGTAGAATAAAATTAAACAAGAGCTTGACTTTAGAGCCTGACCCCATCCTTCCAGACACTGTCCCCACTTCATTCTCTCAAGAGCTCTTGGCTACAACTTGGCTTCCTCCTCTCTCCAATCCCCAAGGCCAAGGCCCAGCCCCTTTACCTATTCTATATCCTCTTTCCTACTGTTCAGAGTCAGTGCTAACTCCCTTCAACATTCACACCAAGACCTTCTTCTCAGAAAAGGGAACCTCTTAAACTGCAATGTAATGGGAATGCAAGCTGGGGCAGCCACTCTACAAAACAGTATGGAGGTTCCTCAAAAAGTTAAAAATAGAGCTACCCTATGACCCAGCAATTGCACTACTAGGTATTTATCCAAAGGATACAAACATAGTGATCCAAAGGGGCACGTATACCCCAATGTTTATAGCAGCAGTGTCCACAATAGCCAAACTATAGGAGGAGTCCAGATGTCCATGGACAGATGAATGGATAAAGAAGATGTGATATACACAATGGAATAGCATTCGGCCATCAAAAATGATGAAATCTTGCCATTTGCAACAACAGAGATGGAGCTAGAGGGTATTAGGCTGATCGAAATAAGTCAATTAGAGAAAGACAATTATCACATGATTTCACTCATGTGGAAATTAAGAAACAAAACAGATGATCATAGGAGAAGAGAGGGAAAAATAAAATAAGATGAAATCAGAGAGGGACACAAACCATGAGACTCTTTACTCCAGGGAACAAACTGAGGGTTGCTGGAGAGGAGGTGGGGGGGGGGGCGGGGTAACTGAGGGATGGGCATTAAGGACAGCATGTGATGAAGTGAGCACTGGGAGTTATATGAAACCAATGAATCACTGACCTCTGCCCCAGAAAGTAATAAAACACTATATTAATTAATTGAATTTAAATAAAGTAAATAAATAAAAAGACGTTTCTTCTCCACAGTCTTTCCTGATGATTCCAGATTCTTCATTCACACATTTATCCAAAACCGTGGAGACACAATGGAAAGATTGCTGGGGCGCCCGGGTGGCTCAGTCAGTTAAGCGTCTGCCTTCAGCTCAGGTCATGATCTCGGGGTTCTGGGATCAAGTTCCACATCGGGCTCTCTGCTCAGTGGGGAGTCTGCTTCTCCCTCTCCCTCTGCCACTCTCCCCCTACTTGTGCTCTTTCTCAAGTTAATAAATAAAGCGAAGGAAGGGAGGAAGGAAGGGAGGGAGAAAAGAAAAAGAAAGAAAGAAAACTGCTTCAGTCCCTGCTTTCACAGAGCGTGTAACCCAGGAGTAAAGCAGAAACCTTACAGCCATTCACTTGACCCTTAGCAGACATGTCCCTGTATCTACTGATAGTCAATGTATAAGCTCTTCAAGGTCTAGGGCATCTTTTCCTCCATTTTGTAAACATCTGTGTACTTCCTACAATACCTAACAGAATGTCTTGTGCAAAGTAAACACCTAACAAATATTCCTTGATCGGTAGGCTGCTTGCCCTGAGAAATTTCCTAGATTTCTTCACACTCCGGTATGTCTTTAAATTTTATGGATGTAAATAACTGTGTGGGCCTTGCTGGTTCTTCCAAGTTCACAGTTCAGATGTCCGTGACTGAAGGCACTGCTTGTTGCTCCGTCCTCTGCTTCACTGCCACGTCATGTCTTTGAAACCGTTACAATTCCAGATAATTCCACTCACTTCACTAGGCTTTGCTTTGGTCACAATGATATCAAAGTTTTGAGATATAAGGTGACAGAGACAATGTTTTTAACCTCTTTATGCCCTATACCAAACCAAGCCAAGCAATATTCAGATGAACACTGTATTTCCCCCAGCCTCTGGCAGAGGTGAGGATTTTCTTTTTCCCTCACCCCCATATAGCAAGAGACACCAACCAGCAAAGGTCTAGCCACATCCCAGCTATCCCTCCGCAGTGGAATAGGTAAACACACTGGGATGTGCTCATGCAGTGGGATAAGACCCTGGGGGGAAAAAATCAATGCATTGCGGCCACAAGCGACAATGTAACAGCGTCAGGCGTCCACAGGACGGAACTGCGGTATGAGTCCGTCTGGATGAAGGTCCACACCCTGCAAAACAAGACAAGGTATCATTTCAGGATACAAACACGTAGTGGACCTACAGACAAAGCGGGGAAGGATAAATTCCAGGAAGGAAGGTCAGGGCAGACAATGGTGGGAGGTGCTCTGGGGGCCGCAGAGATGACTGGGCTCATTGCGAAGACTTGCCAGATCTGGCCCCTGAGCGCGGCTGTTTCCACCTGCCAGATGGATCCCACGTGGTCTCCCCATCACGTCACCGCAGTGTGTCCCTCTCATTGGCGGAGCCTGGGTCATGTGGCTCCACCTGAGCCGCCAAGGCAGAGCACGTGGGATGTTTTCCGCATCTTTTGTGGGATGGAGTCCCTGCTTCACAGGGGAGGGGCCTCTCGTCACATGGAAAGGGGCTTCTCATATGGTTCAGCCTAAAGGAATTATTTGGTCCAAACACAAAGCTCTCTGGAGACCCAGCACAAGCAAAGTATAAAATTTAGACTCACTAAAGAAACAGATGGACTTTAGGGCTTTGCTAAGTGATAACCAGCCAGCATTGTGCTGGAGACCAGCTCTCGAACACCCTGGGTCATGATCCCAGGGTCCTGGGGTCAAGTTCCGCAGTGGGTTCCCTGCTCAGCAGGGATCCTGCTTCTCCCCCTGCTTGAGCTCGCTCGCTTGCTCTCTCTCTCTCTCTCTCTCTCTGACAAATAAATAAATAAAAGGTTCTTTAAGAAATTATATTTTTAGGGGCACCTGGGGGCTCAGTGGGTTAAGCCTCTGCCTTCAGCTCAGGTCATGATCTCAGGGTCCTAGGATCGAGCCCCACATCAGGCTCCCTGCTCAGTGGGGAACCTGCTTCCTCCTCTCTCTCTGCCTGCCTCTCTGCCTGCTTGTGCTCTCTCTCTCTGTCAAATAAAGAAAAAAAATCTTTAAAAAAAAGAAATTATATTTTTAAAATTATATTTTTAAAAGGTAACAAATATTCAAAATCCTTCATGTCTTAATTATTTTGTTACACTTTCCTCTTAGCTGTGTTCCTAAAGTGACTTCACTTCCAGCGGTGCGCTACTCTCCCTCCAATGACCTCACTTGGGCAGCTGGGATGGGCCACAGTGGGAGCATTTACACCATGGGAATCAGCAAACGATACACACCAGGGCCCTTTCTCCTCCCCCTCATAGAGCAATTATTCGCTGTAGTAAACCACGGGAG